CGTGGGCAGCTGGCTGATGGGTTGATGGGTTGGATCGGTGTGGTCGGTGTTGGAATGATCGGTGTGTTCGGTGTCGGTGTGGTGTTTGCTGTTTGCTGTCGGGGTCGTTGTCGGTGTCGTTGGTGTCGGTGTCAGCTTCGGTTCCGTCGATGGTCTGGCGGTGTGGTCAGTTCCGGTGTCGCTGTGATTGATGTCGATGCGATCGGTGTCGGTGTGTTCGGTGTCGGTGTGATCGGTGTGGTCGGTGTCGGATTGATCAGTTTGATCGGTTTGATCGGTGTCGGTGTGATGTTTGTTGTTGTAGTCCTTGTCGGTGACGGTGTCGGTGTCGTCGGTGTTTGTGAGTATTGGTGTCGTCGGTGTTTGTGTCGGTGTGGTCGGTGTCGGGCTGGTCAGTGTCGGTGTGATCGGTTTCGGTTTGATCCGTGGCAATGTGATTGGTTTGATCAGCGTGTTTCTGTGGCCAGTGTCGGTGTGATCGGTGTCGGTGTGATTTTTGTGATGGATGTGAACGGTGTAATCGGTGCCGGTGGACCAGTGCGGTCGGTGTGGTTCGTGTGATCGGTGTCAGGTTGATCGGTGTGATCGGTTGAGTCGGTGTGATCGGTGTCGGCATGATCGGTGTGAGCGGCGTGATCGGTGTCGGTGTGGTGTCTGCTTTCGCGGTTTTTGTTGGTGTCGTTGTCGTCGGTGTCGGTGTCAGTGTCATCGATGTCTTGTTGGTGTGGTCAGCATCGGTGTCGGTGTGATCGGTGTCGATGTGGTCGGTGTCGAAGTGGTCGGTGTGATCGTTGTCGGTGTGGCCAGTGTGGTCGGTGCGGTGAGTTTGTTCGGTGTCGCTGGGTCGTTCTGATCGATTAGATTAGATCGGTGTCGATGTGATGTTTGCTGATGTGGTCTTTGTCGGTGTCGATGTCGGAGTCGTCGTTGTGGTCAGTGTTGGTGCGGTGAGCTTCGGTGTGATCTGACCGGTGTTGTGTTATCGCTTTCAGCGTGGTCGGTGTCACTTCTGGTCGTTGTCGGTGTGTTTGTTTGGCCAGTGTCTGTGTGATCGGTGTCGGTGCGATTCGTGTGATTTTTGTGATCGGTGTTGAATGGTGTAGATTATAATCGTTGTCGGTGTGACCAGTGTGGTCCCTGCGTTTGGTGTGATCGATGTCGGATGATCGGTGTGATGGGTTGATGGGTTGGATCGGTGTGGTCGCTGTTGGAATGATCGGTGTGTTCGGTGTCGGTGTGGTGTTTGCTGTTTGCTGTCGGGGTCTTTGTCGGTGTCGTTGGTGTCGGTGTCGGCTTCGGTTCCGTCGATGTTCTGGCGGTGTGGTCAGTTCCGGTGTCGCTGTGAGTGGCGTCGATGCGATCGGTGTCGGTGTGTTCGGTGTCGGTGTGATCGGTGTGGTCGGTGTCGGATTGATCAGTTTGATCGGTTTGATCGGTGTCGGTGTGATGTTTGTTGTTGTAGTCCTTGTCGGTGACGGTGTCGGTGTCGTCGGTGTTTGTGAAGGTATTGGTGTCGTCGGTGTTTGTGTCGGTGTGGTCGGTGTCGGGCTGGTCAGTGTCGGTGTGATCGGTTTCGGTTTGATCCGTGGCAATGTGATCGGTTTGATCAGCATGTTTCTGTGGCCAGTGTCGGTGTGATCGGTGTCGGTGTGATTTTTGTGATGGATGTGAACGGTGTAATCGGTGCCGGTGGACCAGTGCGGTCGGTGTGGTTCGTGTGATCGGTGTCGGCATGATCGGTGTCGGTGTGGTGTTTGCTCTCGCGGTCTTGTCGGTGTCGTTGTCGTCGGTATCGGTGTCAGTGTCATCGATGTTTTGTTGGTGTGGTCAGCATCGGTGTCGGCGTGACTGGTGTGGTCGATGCGATCGGTGTCGAGGTGGTCGGTGTGACCGTTGTCGGTGTGGCCAGTGTGGTCGGCGCGGTGGGTTTGTTCGGTGTCGGTGTGAAAGGTGTGGTCGATGCGATCGGTGTCGAAGTGGTTGGTGTGATCGTTGTCGGTGTGGCCAGTGTGGTCGGTGCGGTGGGTTTGTTCGGTGTCGGTGTGACATGTGTGGTCGGCGTGATCGCTGTCGGATGGGTTGGTGTGATCGATTAAATCGGTGTCGATGTGATGTTTGCTGATGTTGTCTTTGTCGGTGTCGATGTCGGAGTCGTCGGTGTGGTCAGTGTCGGTGTGGTGAGTTTCGGTGTGATCTGACCGGTGTTGTGGTATCGCCTTCAGTGTGATCGGTGTCACTTGTGGTCGTTGTCGGTGTGATGTTTGTTGTTGTGGTTTTCTTCGGCGTCGATGTTGGTGTCGGTGTCGTCGGTGTTTGTGTCGGTTTCGTCGATGTCGTGTTGGTTTTGTCCGTGTCGGTGTGGTCAGTGTCGGCGTGATCGGTGTCGGTGTGCGTCGATGTGATCCGTGTGATCGATGTGAAGGGTGCGGTCAGTGTCGGTGTGATCGGCATTGGTGTGACCGTTGTGGTTGGTTTGATTTTTGTCGGTGCGATCGATGTCTGTGCAGTCGGTGTCGGTGTGGCGTTTGTTGTTGTGGTGTTGGTCGGCATGTCGTGCGTGTTTGAGTCGGTGTCGTTGATGTCTTTTTGGTGTGGTTGGTGTTGGTGTTGTCATTGTTTTTGTGATTCCTGTCGGTATGTTTGGTGTCGGTGTGTTCGGTGTTTGTGTGACCGGTGTTGGTGTAGCCCGTGGGCGTCGGTGCGGTCGGTGTGGGGTCGGTCGGTCTCGATGTTCTCTGTGCAGGTGGTGTCGGTGGTTTCGTCGTTGGTGTGTCTGTCGCTGGATTCGGTGGTGTTGCTGTGATCGGTGTGTTCGTTGTGTTCTGTATGTCCGTGTGCTCGGTGCAGTCGGTGTCGTTCTGATCGGTGTGACGTTGTAACCGTTCACGTCGCGGCGCCGTCGTGGTGTCTAGCACATGCAGCCACCACTGCCGTCGCCGCACGTATTGTCAACGCCGTCGTTGCCGTATCCGTTGATGCCGTAAGCACGCAGCCACTCAGCCAGAGTTGCTTTCCCCGCGACACACGCAGCTATTGACGCCATATGCGCGCAGCCGGAACAGCCGCATAACGCATGTGGCCGACGAACGCTCTCCTGTTTCGCTGCCGCCTCTGGGTGGCACATGGCGCCGTAGCCGTTGCCACTGCGCAATTGCAGCCGCAGCAAACCCTTGCCGAGACAACCGCGCCCGCCAGACTTTCTTATGTCGAGCCGCCGCCGCTGCTGCGTAGCACGTGCAGCCGCCACTGCGCTCGCCGCACGTAAGATGTAAAGCCTGCAAACGACCCTGCGCTGCCGACGCCGCCACCGTCAACGCTGTCGCCGCCGTCGCTGCTGTAGCTTGTGACGCCGTAAGCACGCAGTCGGACCCACCGCCGTTACGACAGTCGCAGCTGTTGACGCGCGCCGTATGCATGCAGCCGAAGCTACCGCTGCCGTGACAGCCGCTCGACGCAAATGCCTGCCGCTGCTGTGGCGCCGCCGCGCCTGGTGTTTAGCACATGCCGTGACAGCCGCCCTGTGGCCGCCGCTGCTTTTTTTCTTGTCGCCGCCGCTGGGTAGCACATGATAGCACATGCAGCTACCACGTCGTAGCCACACGTACACGCCGCGGACACAGACGGTAGCATTCTAATATCCAGGTGCCGATAAAACCGGTCGTAAAAGGAGATGTTGCTAAGCAAATGTTGGTGAACAATTTGCCACGTGCGGCAAGTGACGTTGGCACCCCGAAAGTAGAACTTGGTGAGCAAAGACAAAAACCTCAAAAGATATCTTTCTGAGTTTTTATACAAATAAACCTGGCGAGGAATTGTTGGTTAGCAAACTCGAATGCATAAAATAAATGAGATGTTGTGGTTGGTGAGGACACTTTGAAGACCGAAGGGTGATGTTGGCTTGGACACCCTAGACCCGCAAAAGGAGATGTTGGTGAACACACCTTGACGATAAATGACGGTGATCAGGCCTGCACGGGAGGTCTCGGTGAGCAAAACCCCAGCCTTAAAAACATGTGTTGGTGCGCAAACCTAACACATTGGCAGGTTAAAAGAAGTGCTTGCCTGTTTTGCTCTTGACGTGAGATTGTGAATATGTGATTCTACGCAAGATTTGCGTGCTTGTGCAATATCCGTTCTTCATCCCGCCATCCTCCATGTTACTGTCACTCTATACAGTGTTGTTTTTTGCTTGCACCCGTGGCCTGTAGCAATTATTTTTGGCAAACCGCCGCTGTGAGCACCGCTTTGCGCTCTTTTGCTTCCCCTCGCACTCGCACTCGCACTTTGACTTGTCCCTGCACAAGGCCGTACTGTGTTCGGTATGGGCAGGATCGATGTGTGCGCATGTATGTGCCTTGTGCCCGAGGAACGATGCGTGCTGCTGTGTTGGTCGTTGTGTCCTTGCTGTTGCTGGCATGGGCTGGGCCCGATGACGAAGGTGCGGCGGTCCTGCTTGTTAACCCCTTGGAGAGCAAGAGCGGTAATGACAGCAACAACGACACCAGCAACACTAAGGCCGACCCCCGGTGCGAGATCTTGGCTACAATCCTTTGACGGGAGAGTGGGACGATAATGGTCCTGGCACAGAACAAGTCGTCGAAGGCGAAGGCCGTTCATGTGTTCTGTCCGTCGCATTCGCACGTAGTATATGACTCTTTGTACACGCCGTATGTTCCATGCTGAAACAGCAAGGTGATTCTCCAGACTTCCCACCCACGGAAGCAGACAACTCGGAGCTTCCCGGCGACATTCCGGATCTGGACTCGCTCTTGTTATCCGAGGACGAAGAAGGAGAGGGTTCCGAAGAAGTTCCAGCCACTCCTGTGCCAGATCTATCGCTGCACCACACCATCACCGAAGCCTTCGCAGCGCTGGACATATCATTTGAGGACTTATGGGCTAAACCCGCCACTGAGTGGAACAAGGTAATTGAGAAAGCTTATCGCTCACAGGCTCTGCGCCAGCACCCGGACCGCAACCCCGGCCGGGCTAAAGAAGCGCATCAGGCCATGATCCATTTAGGAGCTCAGCGGGACGTCCTTCGCGACTTTGTCGACCATTGGACCACAATCCGCCGCTACCTCGGGCGTCATCGGCCTACATGCTTTTGCTCTCTTTGCTGTGAGCTTTGGGGCCGGATGACGCGGTGCAAATTCTGTCTTGGCACCAATAAAAAGCATGGCCACAAAGGTTGTGGTCTGACAAAGGAAGCGTCATACTTCCAGCGGAACCATTTCGCTTGGTACCCTACGTTCTTGCGGCACATAGCGCACGGCGCAGAGGCGGTGGAAGCCAAACGCCGCGTCGATATGGAGCGGCGTCTTCAAGAAGGCCGCGCCAAAACAAAAGCGAAGCTGGAAAAAAAGAGGCGACAGAGAGACGAAGAGGAACAACAGATTCTGTTCGACCAGCGGTTGGCCGAGGCTCTGCAAAAAGCAGAGCAAGAGGTCACAGAGGAGTGGGAAAGGGAACACGGGAAGCCAACTGCACGCGTCGAGGACTGTGTTTCTTTCCGGTATGCCGTAGTCTAATCCGGTATAGGAACTTGTCCCTGCTTGCAGGATCGAGGACCTGGACGATCTCGTGGTGTATCCTCCACTGCGACGCACAGTCAGATCGCTGCAGCTGGACAAGCAGTTCCCCCCGTGCCACCAGCAGCGCCAACGCATCCGTCTGGCCCGGTGTCCTTCCGCCCCCCTGCGGCCTCGGCCTCCCTGCCTGTTCCACCCCTCCGCCGTCCAGCGGCAAATCCTGGTGCTAGCACCAACCCCAACTTTAGACCTCCCCTCCGCCGTCCAGCATCACCGGGTGGTAGCCCGGCCGGAAAAAAACCTAGGCACGGCGGCGATGTCACAGACGACGAGGAGCTGGAGCCGCCGCCGCCCGGTGATGAGCCGTGGAGCGCACCTCCTCAAAGACGCCCTCTTCCCCCGGGCTACACCGTCCCACCTGCGCCGCATTGGCTGGCCCTCAATCGGGCGGGCAAGTGTCACTGGTGTCCGTTTTGCGAACGGACCACGGCACGATGGGAAGCCCGTCTAATGAGAGTTTCTGGAAAAATACTCTGTTGGTTCCGCTGCACGAAGTATCCTGGGTGCGATTTTGCCTGGGACGCGGACCGGGGGCTTCTGCCGCCGAAGGCTCCCGGTAAAAGATCCAGACCCTCCACGGCCAAGAAAGATGAGAGAGATGACGAGGATGGCAAGGACAAGGATGCCGATAAGGACAAGGACGACAACGAGCGCGACGACCTGCCAGAAGCCGACGAGTAGGGTGGCTTGATTTTCCGCTTCTATTTTGCTCGCGCATCTGGAGCCGGTCCCTTTTCACGGCCCGTGGGCGTTAATAGCGCAACACAACATTTCGGAGAAAGATGTCAGCTGTTTGCAATCTGTCACGCCGTCTTGTTCGAAGATATTCCGCAGTGTTGCTTTTTTAAACACACCCACGTGATGAAGCAGCAGTGAAACAATTTGTTTCACACCTCGACATCACGCACACACACACACACACACACACACACACACTACTTCTTGAGCCTGGCCCATACCTTAGGTTGTGGCTGCTCACTGAGAGTTTGCGCCGGTGGAGCTTCAGTACTTACTTCTAGCGTCGGGTTGTTACATGCAACAACAAATCCCGTCAAAATTGAAGCTCGAGTCAGAGAGATGTTGTGTGCTACTTGCCTTTTCGCATCCACATGACATACAGCACACCAACCACAATTTTCATGGCGAGTATGGCTGTTCGTGTATTGCTTGCGCTTAGCGCTTACATGGCGGAGGAATGCAAATGAAAATAATTATGTGAAATATTGGCCGCATGCCTTCTTAAAAAAAACATGGAAACCGAAATAACCATGCCAAGTATTGCCTACATGCCCTTTGCGCTTGAACGATAAAGAGCAGACAAAACCCAAATAGTCATGTTAAGTATTGCTTACATGCGTTCTGGACCACATGCAACAACCTTGGACAAGAGATTTTCAGCCTGAGAGCTCGCAGTTTGAAAAAAATGCAGGAGGTTTGAACATGAGATTTAGATGTGCTGAGTGCTTGCAATTCCTGACTTGGAAGCGACATGTACAACTTATTTT